TATAATATTTCAATTACGCACTTTCTCAACACAAATTCAAACTGACTTCACAACTAATAACAAATTTTGTTCACTTTACAATTGATGCGAAAATTGATAATTATATTATGAAAATAATTGATTAAAATATCAGAAATTTATTAAAAAGTTTGCTTGCATTTCAATGTTTATAATTATATTTGATTGTTTATCAACTTGCATTTTCGCTCACATCGAGCTCTCGTTCTGTCTCGCTGTCCCCCCATAGAGCGCAAATGTGCTGCAAATATATAAATTATAAATTTATGTGTTAAATTTCGACGCGGCTTTGTCGCTGCCAGCGGCATCCATTTTGACATTATGAATTTATGCGAAGTCTGGAAAAAAACCTACATACAAATAGATGTATATATTTATGTATATGCTGTATATACGAGTATATATATATATATATGTACATTTGTATGTATATAGTCACTTGTGTACTTGTATATTTTATGGCATATTTTCAGAGCATTTGTGTCCTCAAAAACTGTTTGTGTGTGTGTGTGTGTGTGTGTGTGCTTGTGGCATATATTGCAAATAGATGCATGAAACGACATGTGATCCAATATGAAATATACTCGCACAATATGAAATATACAGACACAGACACAGGCCCAGGCACAGAGTGGTCTGACAGTTGCACGCTTTGTCGCTCTGTCTAACTGACTTATGCGTCATTCGCCGCAAAAATGGCAAATGCGCCCGGGTTGGGGCTAGGACTGGGCCGGTTGGCTCGGCCCTGGGCCCACCATGCACCCTACTGTTGCTTGTTTGTCTGTCACACAGTTTGACACTTGCAGCTTGAAAAAGCTACGATGGGACTTTTCTATAAAAAGTTATTATTATTTTTTAAAAACGTTCATTTTTATTATTAAATTTACTTTTTATGTTATTTAGAGTGCATGTTAAATGTGAATTTAATTGTATATAGGTCGTATCATCATCTGTGCAAATTTAATTGGTTTCATTTGCCAGCTGCTCCACACTATGCCCGTTATATCGGCGTCAACTTCGTTCGATTCATATACGCCATTCAGATTGCTATCAAAATAGATGTTGTTGAAAAATTACCAGAAATTTGAGGGGAGAAACAGACAAAACTCACCTGTCCATGCACTTGTGGAACCACCAGCCCGATTTGTAGGCCATGGCGCACTCTTCATTCGTATCAGGCGTCGAGAATGTGGCATTAATGTGTGTGCTTAATGAATCGCCGGCATTGCCCGAATATGCACCGAGCACACTTAATGCATACGATGCAGCCGCATTATCGATTCGAAACTCGCTGTATTGTGCGTGTCGCACCTCATTGTCCTCATCCTTCAGGTATATAATTAGTTCGTGCGTGTGCCAGTTGGTCATGCGATGCAATTTCTCGAGTCCAATGAAAAACTCAGAGTGCAGATCACCGAATCCGCGGCGATATTCGATCCAGCTTCTATTGAAATTAACACTGCCATCCAGACGCCGCAATATGACAGTCCAGCCGCTGTCAGCCAAAATCGAGTCACACAACACCGGAAATGTATTGATGCCCGGCACTTTGATATCCTGTATATAGCTGCCCATTCCCGGCGAGCAGCTCGCAGCAAAAATTTTGTCAACTCCACACATTATGTAGGTAGTTTCGATTTGATTCACTGGTTTATGCAGATGTTTAATATGATTTATAGTTATATCTACGGGATTTCCATCGTGCAGCAAAGGTTCAATATGATCTACAAAATATTTCGACCACTTCGCTTCGATATCTTTGATTAATTTTTGCGTTCGCTCTGTGGCATTGACATCATCATCATTATTGACTTATTTTGAATTGTCGCTAAATAAGAATAACACAAATAAAATAAAAAGGAAAATACTAACACCATCTGAATCAGACATAATAATACGGAAGAGCTAGTTGAGAACGATCTACACTCGTTGAAATTCAATAATAAACTGAATCGACTTGGGCTCGCAATCTACTATTTATTCATTTCAATGCATTTATATATATGTATATGTATACTTAGTCTTATCAGCTGTTATGGTCTCAGCACTTGTTTATATATTGAATTTAAATTAAAATAAAATTAAAATTTAAAAAAATGTTTGTTCATCTCATTAATTTCACACTAATCTTAAAATATTTCTGGTATCATGTAATACTTTGTAGTGAAATATAATCTGGAGGAAAATCAATAAGAAATTCAATGAGAACTTTTAAATGGTTTTTAATAAAAGAATTTTAAAAATATTTTTGTGCTTAGTTATTACATATATCAAATGTCATATTATACATTATATTGAAATATTCTGTAGTATTTTAGTAATGTATTTTGTACGATTTCATCCCACTGTACCGTCACATCTCTGGCATTTTCTTTATTTGTTTACTCAACTTGTGTGACGGTAGCAACAAATAGCCAAGATGCTAACCGACAATTACAATCCCAGCACAATTTATTCATGTTTTGCAACCTTTCTTTGGGCATTAGACGACAATGACGATGACGACGGTGGCAGCTATTGTTTACAGTGGGGCGACAATGGCGCCGGCTCATTGAGTCTGACGAGTCAGTCACTCAGTCAGTCGGTCCGTCAGTCAGTTGGGTCTGAATGAATCATTCACATATATGGGGTCTGGCATTTGGCCTGCTTGACAACCGCCCAGACGCAGCTCCAGCGACTTCCATTTTCATCATAATAAAGTCTGTTGAAAGGAAATCGATATGCTGGTAACTTAATCATGGAATGAAGTCCACGTCAAGTTCTATTTTATATATAGTTCTACGCTGTTTCCGCGGGGTATATAGGATTTCTAAACATTTATTGCATGCATGTTTAACATGAATTTCTATTTTCGAGGTAAAAAAAAATCAATTCGGATTAATTTTATTTAAATTTTGTTTGCACATGACAAAAAAATTTACGTATCAAATAAATAAAAAAAAAACTCTTTTCATTTGAAAAAAAATGCACTTGAATTAATAAAAAGTAGTTAAAATATAATTTTTTAAAAAAAAATTAAAAAAAAAAATTAAAATTAAATAAAAATTCCAACTCAATTACTATGTAAGTTATTTAATTTATTTACTTTAATTTTATTTTTACTTTTAT